GGGAACACGGAATCCAGCTCAGCTTCCACCGCCTCGACTTCATCCCCGCCGCCCAACATTGAGCAGCCGATTTTACCCAGAACCACGACGGCTTCGTCACTCATCACTCATCAGTACAACAGTGAGTTATCTTTGACCCCTATCCCCCCTTTTTATGAACACAGTTTATAAATACAGTAACATTTCGTTACAATAAATACCGTAAGAGCGAACGGAGTAAACTGCGGATCATGAGCTGATCGAAAACCGTTTACGATGCTCAAACTTTCGGACGTTGGAGTTCCGAACTAAAAATAGAGCATATATACAGCACATTAACAAATGGTTCAGTACAACAAACGTGTTCTCACAAGTCCAGACAGAAAAGCTTGCAGAGTGCACCTTGATACAATCTCAATATAACAAAATTACCAGAAGAAAAAACTTTTTGAGGAATGTTTATTTCTCCAGATAGAAATTGCCAGACTGAGGCAGAAATCTTTCTCTGTCCAGTCTCTGAATTTTTAGATCCAAAATGTGACTGACTGGTTCTTGTAGCATGGATGGAAACTGGAATCAATGATAAGCATGCTTCCGATTAATTGGTTCCACACATCAACCTCCCAGAATGAAGAGATTGGTGCAACTGATGGAATGACTGATTCCCGCTAATTTTTTTAGAACATTTTCAGCACAGTATTTTAAACAATAATAAAACTAGATCTGAGAATGCCAGAGAGCAATGTTTGATTATTGACAGGTTTGATGTGAATTTTTTTTTTCCGTCGTCAAGTCAGAAAATCTTGCCATAAGAAATGATTCAATATAAAAACTTGTTATGAAGTCCCCAAAAGTTTCTTGTGACAATATTTTACTGCATACGGTTGGATATGAACAAGTGCCGCAGATGAAGAAAAAGAAGTTGTTTTATTTCCCCTCCCATTTAAAATCTGCTGTTGGATATTATAAGTTTGCCACAAATGAAGAATGAAAGGCAGAAAATTACGAAGCAGCCAGTCATTCATTTTCTTTCTTTTAAGAAATCAACGAAAAACTAAGAAATCAACAAAAAACGTTGAAGTCCATCACATGACAGATACGCAATGTTTTCAGTTCTTGAATAAAGGAACCATACGCGTTGGATTCATTCTTTTTTCAGTTGATCAATCTACAAATCTGCGCAAATTTGGGATCAATACTGTATATGGCTTCCCAAATATATCTTAATCTATAAAAATTAAGGAAAGTTATTCTGCATTTGTGTGAAAGAATGTGGTTCGGAAAGTTGGCTCCAGAGTGTCCTAAATTATGATTTATTTTTCGAGTTTTGGGGCTATCATTTTCAAGAGAATAGCATCTCAAATATTTAAAAATCTACTAAAAACTCGCTGCATATTTTGGTTATTGTTCATTTCTATCTGAAGCAATTCAATCTTTCAGTGTTGATGATTTCCATTCTTGGTTCTATTCACGTTCGGATTGTCGGAAGTTATGCATTATCACAAGCTTACGCAGTACATTACAGAGTTTGACGGCTGACAAAAACTTGTGCCAAAATAACTTCGTCAAATTGGTTTGAAATTTTGCAGTGGGATCCGAGTACACGGATTACGGGAGTTACTGGAGGGCTAATCAAGCCCTTGGACAGCATTCTGCAGCAGGTACGTCGGCATACCAACAATTCTTGGTGGCGTCCAACGCTGCAGCAGCTGCTTTTGGGGTTGTCAACGATTCTGTCGGTGTGACTGGTCAGCCCATGATGTCCACGAATGCTGTCCCAGGTACAAGACTTTTAAAGAATTTATTTTTTAGTAAATAGATACTCACTAAGAAATTAATTTGCAAATAATGGCACACTATGAGCCATTATTCAGTGATGGTTTTCAAAGACATGCGTTTTTTTTTCTTCGGAGGTCAGAGTTTCTGTAAAAAAAAAAAACGTATGTCTTTGAAAACCGTCACTGAACAAATTAGTCAGTATACAGAAACTCTGACCCCCAATACAGAATGCTCTGACCTCCATTACTCTGACCTGTAATACAGAAACTCTGACCTCCAAAGAAAAAAATAAAGCGAGGGAGAACTTGAGTAAATACAGATGGACCTTGCTAAGTCAGCCATACTTAATTCAAATTTTTTATTTAGTCTCTTTTTGCGTTCCCTTACATAAACAAATAATGGAGACTTTTCCCCTGAAACCCATAAGTCTCAAATTTTCGGTGGCCCTTGCGCTATTAATTCGAGGACCCAGGAAGAAGAAGAGCAATAAAATCGTAACAATGATTTACAAAAGGACGTAATTGACTAATTGGGNGAGAGATCGGATTTTATCAAAATTTTCAATTGAAAACCTCAGGGCGTGTCTTGATTGTTCAAGGGCGTGTGGTACTTGAGTAAATAACGTACTGTATTTCCTTCTGGATCATATATTTTCAGTGATTTGTTGAAAAAAATCCTACGTTTTTCTGCTCGTTCTGCCAGGTATGGTTTCAGAACAGGAGAGCCAAGTTCCGCCGGAACGAGCGCAGCATGTTTGCGCAAAGGGAGCGCAGTCAGGTGAAGTTGTTCGGGTCCGGGAACACGGAATCCAGCTCAGCTTCCACCGCCTCGACTTCATCCCCGCCGCCCAACATTGAGCAGCCGATTTTACCCAGAACCACGACGGCTTCGTCACTCATCACTCATCAGTACAACAGTGAGTCATCTTTGACCCCTATCCCCCCTTTTTATGAATACAGTTTATAAATACTGTACCAGTTTATAACATTTAGTCAGGGAGGACGGAGGAGGCTGTAGCAGGTCGCTGAAATACACATTAGCTGTAACCCTATCTCAACAACAACTACTCTGAAGTGTATTCTCTTTAAAACAAATACATTGTTACCTTTACTATTTTGTTACAATAAATGCCGTAAGAGCGAATGGAATAAACTGCGGATCATGAGCTGATCAAAAGTCATTTACAATGCTCAGTATTTATCGGAAGTTGGAGTTCTGAACTAAAAATAGAGCATATATACAGCACATTAACAAATGGTTCAGTACAACAAACGTGTTCTCACAAGTCCAGACAGAAAAGCTTGCAGAGTGCACCTTGATACAATCTCAATATAACAAAATTACCAGAAGAAAAAACTTTTTGAGGAATGTTTATTTCTCCAGATAGAAATTGCCAGACTGAGGCAGAAATCTTTCTCTGTCCAGTCTCTGAATTTTTAGATCCAAAATGTGACTGACTGGTTCTTGTAGCATGGATGGAAACTGGAATCAATGATAAGCATGCTTCCGATTAATTGGTTCCACACATCAACCTCCCAGAATGAAGAGATTGGTGCAACTGATGGAATGACTGATTCCCGCTAATTTTTTTAGAACATTTTCAGCACAGTATTTTAAACAATAATAAAACTAGATCTGAGAATGCCAGAGAGCAATGTTTGATTATTGACAGGTTTGATGTGAATTTTTTTTTTCCGTCGTCAAGTCAGAAAATCTTGCCATAAGAAATGATTCAATATAAAAACTTGTTATGAAGTCCCCAAAAGTTTCTTGTGACAATATTTTACTGCATACGGTTGGATATGAACAAGTGCCGCAGATGAAGAAAAAGAAGTTGTTTTATTTCCCCTCCCATTTAAAATCTGCTGTTGGATATTATAAGTTTGCCACAAATGAAGAATGAAAGGCAGAAAATTACGAAGCAGCCAGTCATTCATTTTCTTTCTTTTAAGAAATCAACGAAAAACTAAGAAATCAACAAAAAACGTTGAAGTCCATCACATGACAGATACGCAATGTTTTCAGTTCTTGAATAAAGGAACCATACGCGTTGGATTCATTCTTTTTTCAGTTGATCAATCTACAAATCTGCGCAAATTTGGGATCAATACTGTATATGGCTTCCCAAATATATCTTAATCTATAAAAATTAAGGAAAGTTATTCTGCATTTGTGTGAAAGAATGTGGTTCGGAAAGTTGGCTCCAGAGTGTCCTAAATTATGATTTATTTTTCGAGTTTTGGGGCTATCATTTTCAAGAGAATAGCATCTCAAATATTTAAAAATCTACTAAAAACTCGCTGCATATTTTGGTTATTGTTCATTTCTATCTGAAGCAATTCAATCTTTCAGTGTTGATGATTTCCATTCTTGGTTCTATTCACGTTCGGATTGTCGGAAGTTATGCATTATCACAAGCTTACGCAGTACATTACAGAGTTTGACGGCTGACAAAAACTTGTGCCAAAATAACTTCGTCAAATTGGTTTGAAATTTTGCAGTGGGATCCGAGTACACGGATTACGGGAGTTACTGGAGGGCTAATCAAGCCCTTGGACAGCATTCTGCAGCAGGTACGTCG